GGCGGGTATTTCGATTCCCGTGTAGGCTCGAAACCTGATTATATTGTGAACAATCGTATTAACTCGATCATCGACAACGGAGAGTACATACCAGATGAACCTATTCCAAGGACAAACTCGGACAAAGTGAATAACAATTATGGCATACTACTACTTGACTTATGTAAAGACATGGGCTACGCATTTGTAATGGGCGTTTAGACAAGGGTCCCTTCACATATTACGAACAAAATGGTTGTTTAACAATTGATTATTTGCTGTGTCACCAGGCTAACTTGGGGCGAATTGGTATATTCGGCACAAGTGATTTTACCATGTTTTCATATCATGGTATGTTACATTTCAGCATCATCGCACTTGTGTATAAGAAACCGGAAGTTGAAAATAAATTTCCATTAGAATAGAATGGAATTCTCAAAAACGGGATGCCTTTAGAAGCAATATAGTGTCACTTCCACATTTTAACGCATTATTTGAAGATCGGACCGGAAATGATAAAGCACATGTAAATGAAACTGTCACAGAATTTACAAGTTTAATAAATTGTACGTCGGCGCCGTTGTTGAAACACGTTCATATCATAACAAGGTGAAACATAAATTTGCACAAAATCGGCGTTTAAAATCATCGGAATGGTTCGATAATGAATGTGTGAATAAACGGAGGATATATTTAAAAGCTCGGTTTGCGTCGGAAGACATTTATACGGATAATCCTATCTTCTAAGAACTAGATAATACTTTATCAGGGACAGTAGTTTTAGCGGTTTTGAAAACTTTAAAACGTGAAAAGGCAGGATCTACTGATAACTGAATCAATGAATTGTTCATTGAATCTGGGGATTTATTAATAGGCCATTTAACAGATATTATATTCGATACCGTTTTTTCCCGGATAAATGGTCGGAAGGTATTACTATTCCATTAAAATTTTAAAAAAGGAAACGAAAATGATGAGAACAATTATCTTGGAATAACATTGGTCAGTGTCCTAGCAAAGCTGTTTACATCTGTGTTAAATAAGCGTTTAACTGAATGGTATGAAAAAAGTATTATTTCCGACGCTCAGTTTGGATTTAAAAAAGGTTTTCCACAGTCGATGCTGTATTTTGTTTAAACGGATTTAAAAGAAAAAAATCTTGGAAATGGCTCTCGTTTGTATGCTGCGTTCATTTATATGAGCAAACGTTTCGACGTGGTTTATAGGAACGCGTTATGGTACAAAATGTTTAACCTTGGAATTTCTGGAAAAATGTTACGTGTAGTGAGGTCGATGTATGAACACGTGAAAAGTCAAGTACGTCACTATAAAACGTTTTCTGAATTCATTGAAGGAGCGGTAGGCCTAAAGCAAGGAGAGATATGTTCGCCTCTGCTGTGTTCAATTTTCATCGAAGATTTAGAATTGTATTTAGGTTCAAATGTTGATAGTAGTGTTAATACAGCAGACTTGACACTTATATTGCTTTATACACTGATGAAATGATTCTACTGTCTGAAACAGTGCAGAGTTTGCAGTCACATTTAGACAATCTACGATTTTTTTGTGATCGTTAGGGTCTAGAGGTTAATGAAGAGAAACAAAAATAATGGTATTTAGACGTAGTGGTGCGTTGAGAGACGATGAGAAATGGGAGTATAACGAGAAACGTTGGATATTGTAGATACATTTAATTATCTTGGAACTGTATTTGGTTTAACATTTCAAATGGTAATTGTAACTGTAATCAACAATTGTAAATTGGTAAAGCAATGAAAGGTATGAATTTGTTAAACTATAATATCCGTGAACTTTATTTTACTCTAAAAGTTCAATGTCAGCTGTTTGATTCATTTGTAACATCTATACTAAGTTATGCAGCACTGTTGTGGGGTAATTCAAAAGCTAAAGAAATTGAACGAGTGCAGTTAAAGTTTTGTAAAAGACTTCTTACTGTTAAAATGTCAGTAAGTAATGTGTCTGTTTATGGAGAGCTAGGTCGCTATCTGATTTATATAAATTGTTTTGTTAAGATATTCAAGTTTTAAGTTTTCAATTTCAATAATTGTATCATTAAAAACGTTTATAAGGAGCTGTCCAATAATGCTATTTATGGTAAAAAACTGGGCATATAAGTTAAAAGTTTTATTAGAAAACTATAGATATGGATATCTTTGGGAAATACAGGACAGTATTATTGACGGTAAAAGTTTGATTCCGTGTTTTAAACAAAGAGTGATTGATTGTTTCCTTCAGAAATGGAGAAGTGATATTTAAGCTACACGCCTCCAGATGAGCCAAAATATTTCAAGAAAAACAATATTGAGAAAAATGTACTAAAACTTTAAGAATAGTAAAATCATTCAAGATCCAACTGATATTTAAAATATTATATGTGGTTTAACTGCTTTTGCAGTATTTTATCACCATATTTCTACTGCGTAAGTAACGCAGTAAGGGCTCTTTTTGCATATGTTGACCACGTTTTGGTAATTTTCTTGGATTATAAGTTCCGTTTGCAATATGTAAATTGCTTTATTTGTTAATTTCATAATAATTTACTTTTAAATACATCTAAATACATTTCCAAATTTTTCATGAAACTTAACACGAATCTGGAGGCGTGCTGCTTTAATAGCAAACCTGTATTATTGGTATATAAACATGTTAAAGAGAATTTCGAATATGAACCTTATTTCGACTTGTTGAACAAATCTCAGACAGAGACTTTTTATTACAAGAATGAGAACATCTGCGCACTGTTTACGTATAGAAGCCGGGCGTTATGGAAATAATAGAATAGACAGCGAATGTAGACTGTTCAAAATTTGTTAAAATGGCGAGATAGAGGACGAATATCACTTTATGCTTAAATGTACGAGATACAGAGTCATTAGAAAACGATATATTAATGAATATTTTACACTCCGACCAAGTATGTTTAAGCCAATTGAACTGCTAAGATCTGTGAATCACAAGAAAATGACAAATTTGGTGATATTCATCAAATGTGCTCTAAAATTTGGGAAAATATGCTACCTCCAAATGACTTATCATAAACTCTATATTTAAATTGATTGTCGACTGTTTAATGGGTTAATTAATTTGCTTGTCAACACATACCTTCATTTATGTAAATAATATCTATATTCATATTAATTGTATTTTTTATTTGACATGAATTTTATATTCAATGTAATGCATGTATAGATGATGTTTAAATCTAAAATCTAATAAACGATATGTTCTGTTCTGCTCTGCTATTTACCCCTATATTATTTTCATTTCATCACATTATTTTTACTCAATTTCTTAATTTTCCCACTTTAAACAATTGTTTGATATGCTTGCAGGTTGTAAATTTAATACGTATTGTACTGTATTGAAAACTCAATATCAAAAAGTTTTCTAATATTTATTTACAGAAGTATTAACAGAGGTCTTGCTATATTTTATGTATAATGTAGTGTCTATCGAAGAGGGCTCACAGAGAGAGAGAGAGAGAGAGAGACAGAGAGAGACAGAGAGAGAGAGAGAGTTCTCACACTGTGCATATCGTCTTCACTTACATAAAGAAAGAAAAAGTAAACTTTACTTAGTTCCAGTTAACATTGTGTCATTTAAAAAAATCTTAATAGGTCTGCATTAAGCATGCCAGCATTATCGAATTTAAATTATTTTTAATGCAATAGAAACAAAACTCAAACATTAAACCAAATCTGAATGTAAATATAAAACTAGTTGATATATTTTAGATTTGTCAGCCGACTTCAACTGGTCGCAGGTAAATTGTCATCTCTAATACATCTGCTTTCAAAACAGTTGTATTACAAAATCAAATTATTGATCTTTCCAATATGTGTTGTCTTAACAATGACTTATTTTTGCTCATAAACTTTAATAAAAATATACAAATAAGATAACTTATTCCCATCCTTTTGTAGCATAGAATTGTTATCAAGTAGAGTAACATTCTATCACAATGGCATCTGTATGAGGTGAGATTCATTTTAAAGAAATCGTTGCTATGTTTCAAATTATTAAGTTCAAAGATATTTACCCAAAGTTTAGTAACCGCATAAATTATCAAATCAAACATCAGAGATAAACAGTTTCTCTATAAAGAAAGAAATATATGTTGCTCGTTTATATATATGAATTAATGCATGTTTTGAAAGCGCAAATTAATGTGTCACAGGGAAATTGAAGTTTTCTATTATCCCTCGTGTACAGAATCAGTCAAATCATGTCTGCAATTTTTACGTAATTTTTTATGAATTTGCCTCCGAGGGATCACATATTCTTCAGATTGTTTAAACTGTATAATAGCGACACAATGCATGAAAAACAAGAATGACAATTTGGTCCGGTTGGAGTCTGGGTACATCACGGGGGAGGAATTGTTACACGAAGGACGGAAATCGTATGATAACTTGTAAGGGTCTTTTCTGATAACTGTCCCCGAGTTTCCTGTAAAGATAAAAAATCATCATTTCTTCGTGACCAGTTATCATAAGAACATCCTTCAGTTCCTCCCCCGTCGTTCACCTCGTATTATAAATGGTATGGCGGTAAACGTTATTAATGTCTTATTATGTTCTAATAGGATCCTCAAAATGCAATGTCTTTTGCATTCAAAATAATTAATCAAATTTCGTTCCTTACATCATTAATAATACTTAGAGTTATGCACGCTCTATACGTTTTTACATGTTTGCAGGTGATGACGATGTAGTGTTGGATCCCTTTCTCTGTTCAAGGAGTCTAGAAGAAATAAGAAAATTAATTGAATCGGGGGAGCTGCCAAGCCAAAAAATACTTGATGAGATGTGTCAGATTTATAAGAGGAAATCCAAAGAGATAACAATCACGTGCGAGGCAATTTGTGAACATATAAAATCAAAACATGCCGCTATTGCATATGTTTGGGCTGCTTATACAATTCAAAACCCGCATAGAATAACTTTTGTAGTAATTGTGAAACACAGATCAGAAGGTGGCACTAATATAGAGCCTCTAGATTTAGACAAATTGATCCCATACTCATTTGTCAATCAATACGTCGGCGAATTTAGCTCAGAAGGCCCTGATGTACAAAGGCAACAGACATCAGCTTCAGAAGGATTAGATGAAGAGTCCTATCAAAAACTTCAAAGCTGTATTTCAAAACACTCTGAGGTTTTGATGAAAAAACACAAGTTCTTGTCAATTATATCTGCATCCTCAAATAGGTCAAAAGGATTTGGTGCTTCTTGGAAATTGCTTCCGCAAAAATGTATTGTCCTTTACGTCCAGACAAAGAATTTCATTCCAATTGATGAAGAACCATTTAGAAACAAATTATGACGGCATTCCAGTTGATGTAAGAGAAGGTGCCTTTATTCCATTCGGACGTACTGCCAAAGACCTGCTTGACCCTGTTAAAATGGGAAGTCAAATAGGTGGAGACATTATTGAAGGAACTCTTGGGTTTTTCATAGATCATCCTCAATTTGGAATTTGTGGACTGACATGTGCACATGTTCTTTTAACACGATGGGAGATGACTCAACTTAAAACAAATCATAGCGGTACGTTGAAATGGCCATTACATAGAATGTGCAAAAATGTATATCAGCCTGCTGACAAACGGTCTGTACTAGGACACACTGTTCAAGTTATTTACAAAGAAGGTTCAGACGAAAATTGTGGAATGGAATTAGCTTTGTTCAGAATCACGGACAGACATCCCAAATCTCCAAGTTTCCCCGATGAGACAGGTAATATCAGTTGTCGATGTACGTTCTTGTCTGAAATTATTGTTTCTGAAACTTATTTGCATAGTTTTATTTACCAATATTAATAGTTCTATACTATAAATCTGTTGAATGTGGTGGGTGGAAAAACGCCTTCATATAGCATCTTTGTCTCTATGTTTTGGATTGAAATCAACTTCCAGTTTTGGCGTTGGCGGTAACACCGTCAATGAACAAGCTGAATTGAGCCTGCAGCTTTTTCAATTTTGTCGTTTTTTGCCTTCTTTATGATTCCGTTATTCTCTATTGTAAGAAAATAAAACATCTTATTTTTACTACTTTTCTACGTTTGCATGATTGAAATTTACTCACTTCTTTTGGCGACTGAAATTTAAAAATGAAATGTAAAAAGCAAATTAGTTGTGTAATGCGTGAAATATATGTTAATTATCATTTGATGAAATATATGACCTCAAATTATAATTGAAAGTCGTACCAGTTCGATTTAATATTCACTGTTTACTAATGTCCATATTTTTAATACCTTTTAAATTGTTGCTGGCTTCTTTTCACAGGATCAAATGTTGCTACAAATATTAAATACGACAGTTGGCGAATGTGTAGCACAGACAGACTGAATAAGAAGGAGGATGCTCATGTCATAAAATTTGGATCAAAAACCGAAATAACTCATGGCATAATGAAATTTGATACTATCTCAGTAAAATTATTGGATAAATACCCATTTGTTCATGAATATGCCCCGATAAAACTTTTTAAGCAAATTGAAGTTGCAGCTCCTTCAAATGGCATTCCTTTTGCTGAAAAGGGCGATTCAGGTGCGCCTGTGTTCGTTGTTGAGAAAAATTCACAGACTAAATGTATAGGGATTATAGAGGGAGGTACATCATACGGGACAGTAGTCGTCACACCTATCGTCCCTATTTTAGCAGAACTAGATGTACCTTGTTTAAAAAGTTTTGACACAGAAAAAGAATTGTCAAATATTCAAGATAAAATAGATAATTTAGAAACACAGATGAAAACAATTGGTAGTGACATACAGACGATAAAACAAATTTTGTCGAATGGTCCACACAATATTGATTCATCAATGACAAACTCGCCAAATGCTCAACATGGTCATGCTTGACTTATAGATAAGGAAAGTACAAATAAAGTTAAAAACAATGAGCAGCGTTAAGGAGATGGAAAGAAATCAGTAGTTTTAAATCTGTATGAGAAATTGAACGCTCGTATGTGTCAAAGAAAAAATCGGAAAATGCCTAATAGAATAATTGTTGGTTTAAAAATCGCAGTCACTTTGATTTCGCTTCTCGTCATTTCAAGAAGCTTAATTTTGAGACATTCTAAAATGTGATTGACCATTTTATTTTTTTTTTCTTAAGATAAAATAACATTAAATTGTGATCTCAGTGAGCTTAGTCAAGCTATTTACATTCTCTGATACTTATAATTTGCAGAAACGCTATAGCAAAGTTTGTGCCTGTCTCGTTTTATCACAATTTCAAAATCATTTCATTTATTGAATTTCACTAATAGAAAACATCTAACATTACTTCCATGATTCTTGATTAACTTTTAGCTCACCTGTGCTTAAGCTCTCTAGATCAAATCAAACAAAACCTTTTTAACATTCTAGAGTCACATTTAATTTCAACAAACTTCGTCACATTTAATTTCAACAAACTTCGTCAGAATGAATGATGATCTTATTGATATATTTCAAAGATGTGTTATCTCGGGTCAAAAACTAAGGGATCAGTTTAAATCATAGACAAAATTTTAATATGTGTTATTTTGGTTTTGGAGTGATACATGTGGATATAATACCTGCCAAGATTTTATATCACCCGAGCCGATACATATATTATTATTTTTGTAAGAGTGAATTTTCTAACATAAAGTAAACTTAAGCAATTTTATTCATGCCGGCTCGCCACGGCGAGCCGGTATTACGTTAGGATTTTACTGAAAAACAACCTAAAACTCCGAATCCATCCAAAAATTTAATCGAAGCTTGGCTTCCAGCTTTCTACAGAATTTATCTATCAGGGCTAGGATCCAAAACTATTTAGCCAATCAAATTTAATCTTACATAGCGTCAAAAAACCTTCAATTTTCACGCCATTTTTAAAAAGCAGCAAGTATTATTTTGAGCGCAAAGATAAAATGATGATTAAAATATTTGTTTTCATGAATTCTTTTCAAAAAATCATATTTACACTGACTTTTGTTTTATCGATCTCACCAGTTCCTCTGTAGTAAGTTTTCGTTTGGTTAACTAACATAAGTGTACATCTGGTTCTGTGCATTTTTTTCTTTTTCCTTTTTCCGGTCATTTTATCCTTTATCGGTATTTAGTGTATATATTTACTGGCCGTGGTCCGGGAGGCCCGGACTGACCGGGATCCGGGATCGTATTAAGATATAGAGGAAAAACTAATAAACTATATTTGTGTTGATTATTGTCGTAATGAAAGGACATTAAACGATAGTTTTTTATTGTATGTAATGAACGTTAAATTAATCAAACTTAGGATATAAATATATTTAGAGGTATTTATTAACAAACTGAAAATGCGGAAATCCCATTACTTATAATATATGCCTAATTAATTGGAAAATCAAAGACTACATTCTTGAATTGGTCAAATCCCGGGATCCCTTTATGTTTTAATGCGATCCCAGCTTTTCTGAAAACTATATTCTTGAACTGGCCAATTCCTTGGACTTTTTTATATTTTAATACGATCCCGGCTTTTCTGAAAACTATATTCTTGAACTGGTCAATTCCCAGGATCCCTATATGTTTTAATAGGATCCCGGCTTATCTGAAAAACATCTTAGACTGGTCAAAATCCGGGATCCCTATATTTTTTTAATAGAATCCCGGCTTTTCTGACAACATGTGTTTACTTTAGGACTTGTGTCTGTCACTCATTCCAATACTAAATAACATATTACAACTTAACTTTGTATAAAGAGACATCTTTATGAATTCTACCTATCTAAGATTTTTTGGGTCATTGTCAACAGGCCATACAGTAAATGTGCATAATTCTATCTGTTTACATGCATCTTCATATATACTCATATTCCTCTTTGTTAAACTTAGAGAACTGGCTTCCATAACTTTTATTTCACTTTTATTTTGATGTTCGCTGAAGTCTCTTCAGCTAACAGAACTATCATTTTTACATTTAAACGCACCCCTGGAAAAAAATACGAAGCGAGTCGCTACTAGCATTTGAAAAGCTAACCTTGTAAGGGACATTATGGTAGTCTTGTATCTATTATTTTTTATCGTTTATATATGTTAATATTATCTATTATATATTTATAAATGAATATTGATAAATATTGATAAAATAAAATGCGTATTTTCGTTTTCGTATTTTCACTGTAAAAATTTATTTTTCACTGCAGTGAAACATATTTTCCGTATTTTCACTGGTGTGTTGCCGGACTACTTTCTTTTAAATTCAGCCATTTCACAAAATTTAAGGAAAAGTCTTTCAAATTTTATCCCAAAAAAGAGAAAAATGTATATAATAAACAGAAAATTCAAGTTTTTTCTATAAATACATGATTTATTTTCATCTTGTGACATGAAAATTACCATATTTCGCCCGTGGCTATCGCTACTCATGAAATACATTTTTTTTACCACTCGATGAAAATAAATCATATATTTATAGAACAAACTTGAATATCCTCTATATATTTAAACATCGTTGGATCATTAGGATTGTGTATTATGTGTATATTTTGAGTTTAATATAAAACACGTGACTGTAGGACGGATATTTCAGCTTTATGAATTTATTTTTATATTTTGTAATTTGATAAATTTATTCGTACTTATTTCTCTACTCAGAACTATTAAAAAGCTCGCCTAGCTCATGCACAATTCGAGTCTTTTTCAGTTCTGAAATAATGTTTCGTAGAAAAACTAATTTTTATAAATTAAGAAAAGAAAAATGGAGTAAAAATAAATAATATGCTTAAAGGGACTCCACTGAGGTTTAAAAGCCTAAAAACATAACATTTTTATTTATTACATATTTGAGCAGGGGCACTTTAAACATAAATATAAGCAAAGATAGTTAAGGTGATTCCGCTTTGTCAGCCATGTTTGTTTTCACAAAGTCTGTCCAAAGTAAAAGTAAGCCAAAATTCATATAAAAACAAAGCTCACATTGTTAGATGATACGCCATTTGCAAGTACACTTCCAGTTCTATATTTTAAAGACTATTTTAAACAAAAATAAAAATGATAACAATAAGAAAATTTACCTTGAATGGGCTAAATTTCTGAAGTCCGAAAACATTCTGTTGCAAAGTTTTATGCACATTTCATGAATGGCAAAATCCTTTTTAAAGTCTGTTTTAGTGCCAACAAAAGCTATTTTTTGCAGAAAGTACAAAAAACTTTAAAAAACATAAATCTTAGGAAAGTAGTTTATCTGACCTTGAAAAAACATGGCCACCATGACATGTGTAAAAAAGTAGTACCATGAAAATAAACATCATTTACCTATTTCTTGTGTACATGACAAACAGACACACTTCACTGTTACACATAAAAAAGGTTAGATTTTAAAGTTTGATTGTGTTTAACAGCCTCCGGAATAAGTTTGCAAATCCGGAATTTTCGCAAACTCAGCTACCTTTTTTTAATTGATTAGAGAAAAAATTTAAAGACCGGTCAATAATAGAGATTGAGTCAAGTAAAACCTGGTCTTTGAAATGACGATACCCTTAAAATTAAATGCAGGGGAGACATTCAAAGTTAGCCGTCCCATGGGGTTTTTCGATTCCCCCACTGGGGATTTGGTCTCCCAGTGGGAGTTTTCGTGGGTTTCATTTCCTCTTTACGAGAATGGGAGAAAAAAATCACGGGAGAATAAAAAAAAAATTATATACCATTATTTTAAAATCAAAAAATCACTAATCTTGACTTAAGATATTCCTTCCTAAAAATATAGATCGAAATATAAATTATTTTTTAGAATCTCCCATTTCATTATGGGTGGAACGCACCCATGGGTGAAATCACCCATCTTAATAATGGGAAGAAAATCCTATTTTGATAAATGGGAAAAATCCAGTTTCTTATAATGGGAGATAATTTCCCATTCCTTGCAAAATGGAGAGTGTTCTATCTTTTTAGGTGTGGCGCTTATAAAATATAATACAAAATAATACGAAATAAAATAAAATCCAAAACTCAAATAAAATGGCAGGGAAATATGCAGTAAAATAATAATATATATAATAATAATAATAGATAATAAATAAATAAATAATAGATCTAATAACAATAATAATAAAAATAATAACAATAATAATTATAATAAGAAATAAAAAGTAAGAATAGTAATAATAATATTATTATTAAAAAGATATTAATAATAAAATAGTAATAATAATAATAATAATAATATAGATAAATAATAATTATAATATACATAAAATAATAATAATGATAAAAATAATAATGATAATGATAATAAAAATAATAATAATAATATCGATGATAATAATAATTATGATAATTATGATTAAAATGATGCTAACAATAAGAAAGAAGAAAAAAATAATAATAATTTATAATAATAATAATAATAATAATAATAAAAATAATAATGATAAAACAATAATAAATACAATAAAAATCATCATAATAACAATAAATAATAAAAAAATAATGATAATAATAATAATTATAAATAATTAATAATATTGATGATAATAATATTAATAATAATGATAATAATAATAATAATAATAATAATAAGAAGAAAAAAAAGAAGAAAGAAAGAAGAAAGAATAAATAATAAATAATAAATAATAATAATAATAATAATAATAATAATAATAATAATAATAATAATAATTATAACAAAACAGGCACTGGCATTTTATCTTGGAATATATGACGGGAATAATACAGGAAAGTATATGTTTGTATTATATATATTGAAATGGCTATAAATGTTGTAACATATTTAATGCTGTATAAATATTATGTTATAGTTATGTTATGTTATGAATACAGGAAAGTATCATATGTAACGATTTAATCACCAAAATTCATTTAAATATAAAACAATCCAAAATGCTATG